AAGAAGGGAGAAGGGTGATGGCTGAAAAACAGAAGTACTCTTGAGTCCTAAGAAGTGCAGACTCATCCTCCTATCTTGTGGATTGATTTCCATGGTTAGAGAAAGGTACAAGTTCTGTACCTCCATTAAAATACATCTCTAAGCAAAATACATTCAATAGCATAAATAATTAAACACTATGAACGAATGACAAATAAAACAGCGTAATAGCAGAGGCTGTAGGACACTTGTACTGCATTAAAATAGATCAGGTCTGAAGTGACTGAATTATGCTTTGTCAGGAAGAGAGGGATATCAATACTGTGAGGCAAACTGTAACCAATCCAGATACCACAGACTAAATTCTCCTGCCAAGGATTGTTCCTCTAAGACTGTGTCTCAAGTAGTGTGGGGAATGTGGAGAAAATTACATTGAGGACGCTCCTAAGCTGCTCTCAAAATTTGTCTGTGCCATCTGCAGCATATCTTGCTGGTACTTTACACTGATGGGCGTTGCTCAAGAGTCTTTTAATATTGTCTTACATCCATGAGGTCATATTCCCTGGAAATGGCTTGCCAAAGGATGTTCAGTTTTCCATCAGTCCAGTCACATTTCACCACATTAAAGCACGTTTGTCTGTAGAATGGCACTGGGGTAGGTAGGTGACTTCTGCAGTCTCTGAGCCCAATACAGCTTCGTTAATGTAAAAGCAGTTTGCCTGTGGCTTTGGTGGAAGAACCTCAATCTCTCTCTGTTATTGAAAGGCTCCTGTTGACGTAATGGCTGGCATCGCATTTGGAACTTGGTAAAATTTCAGACTGCCCGTGCACAGCCCTTCCTCACCAGGCCAAATTTTAGGCGTGCTGCAAGAAGGGGGAAGAGGAGGCTGGGGGAGAAGAAAGATGGTAAGATGATGGGTACAATAAAAGGAGGTTTAAGTTAATAATTCCTTTGTTACATATAGTGCTGTGAGAAGTGGGGTTTTTTTAAACGTTTTCAATGAAGCAAGATGTGCTTAATATTTTTTCTGATCTTGAAGTTGACCTCGGAAAGTAAATTACACGGAAGCCGAGGTGTCAGTGCAGTACCTTTTAGCGACTAAGCAGCTGAACTAGGGAACCAGGCTGACCGCACTTCCTCACCTTGCCCCCGTGTTACCGTCTTTAACGTTTCGAGTGCCACCGTGTGGTGAAATTATGCAATAATTTCTTTTTTAATTTGCAATTATTTAAATTGGCACGTCACCATTTATCAACCTGGAGCATTCCACCCACCGGTGAACTCGTGTTATTAATTATGCACACTTCGTAGGTTTTCTTTCTCTTCCCCAAAATACGCAGTGCAGGAGGTGCAATTTCCTTGGCCTCTTGCTGCGTGATGTCTCCCAACATCACAACAGAAAAGTCTCACGTGCTCAGTTGAGGAGCTGAGGCTCATTCTGGATTGATTTATTGGTACAGGCCTGTTTATTCACGTGACTAGGCTGATGTGAAGATAGATGTTATGATGTCCTTTATGTGTCAGTTTGGCGTATAAAAACTCTGTGATGAGAGCCATTACTACAGGAAGATTGCAAATTCCCAGTCTGTCAGTATGAAGAAACAGAAAAGAGGATCCTTATCCACAGGACATCAACTGCCCGGAGACACCAGTTAAGGGGGCATTAGAAACTGAGATCTGCTTGTCAGAGTTGCTTAGGTAATTGTCTTACTGCTAATTTAATGACAGTGAAGTTGACGTTGCCCTTATTTTATGTTATGTTCATCAAAATACCAAGTGTTAATTCTTTATGTATTTTTTGTTGCTCGAGTTTTACACCATTGATTTTTTTTCCCTCCGATCAAAAGTAACAATTACATGATTTGTGTTTATATACATGATGGGTCAAGATTCACAAGGAGAGGCAGCACTTCATTGGTTGAAAACCAGACAAAATTTTAGGTATGCAATCTTTTCAGGACTAATGTTGATAAAAATCTTCAAAACTAGACATGGCTTGAAAAAAATTAGCTCCAAGTTCAGTTTATATTATTCAGTTAAAGAATTTGAGGGATAAAGGGGTTGGTACTTGTGGAACAGAAGGAAGGTGATAATATAATTAACCCCTATAAGATAGACATAATTAGTGGTTGTGGGAGAAGTATGGAAATCATAATTTGCCATAAAACCAATCTCTCTACTGAGTCTATAATGTTTAGCATCCAGTAATTACAAGTGTTAAGTTCTTAAGCTCAGGATCAAGACTTAAGAGGTCACAGATAAAGTGGTTATTTTGTAAAAAATCATTTCCTTTATTCATTTTCTGTAGGAGCACACACTGGTGAACAAGTTCAATGTTTTCTCCTGATTTATACAAAAGCATTTAAAATTGTGTCATAGACCAAAGCTAATACACATTCATTGCGTCTTTTATTTTGACGAAAGGCATTCATTGTGGATTCATGCCGGCAAGTTTTGCATTCATGCTCTTGCAGAGTCTGGCTCCAGCCCGTGCATGGTGGTCTGCCTGAGGCTTCCTGCTGCTGCTGAATGTAGTGAAGTTATGGGATTATTCCAAAGCTAGGAGCTCTGCTTGCCTAGCATACATCAAACAAGGAAGAATACATTCTTCTGGCAGCATAATTGATAGTCAAGTGGATTGTAGAAAGATATAAAAATATTTGCTCCAATAGCCATCCTTTGGCCTAAATAGCTGCAGAACACCAGAGCTCTCGGCATAAACCACACAAGAGAAGCACCTAAGTACTGTTGTTCCCATTTTAAGAGGAATGGGGAAATTTAATAAATCACTTTAAGGTCATATAAAACCCTGAAAGGATAAGGATAAAACCCTAAGGATAGAGAGGTTCCTGGTCCTCTTCTTTAAGCAAAAGAACATCCATTCTCCAACTGTACACCATGAAAGAAAGGTTGAATTCTGTTTCAGATGGTTTCTCAAGAAAGTTGTCATTTATCCATACTCATGTGTAACCTTATAAACACTGCTAATACACAGATGAGGGCAAAGCTTGAGGAAGAGATCAGATTTGCCCGTTTTTACTATTCCCCAGGTTCCTTAGGGGATTACAGAAATGACTATTTCATGATCAAAAGGAAAGAATATAAACTTTTAAAGGAAAAAATTGTATAAAAACGCATTATAATGCTCCGGACTAACCTTTAAAGGGAGATCCACAATGGTCCTATATTACATGGCAATGAATGAAGGGCCTTTACTCTCCAGTATAAAGTTGAAAAAAAATGGAGTGGAAGAAACAGTATCAAATTGCAACATTTTCATGCATTCCTATCTCCATTCG